TTTTACCCAGCACTGGGTTGTATTTAACCCAGCATTTTTTAGAGTGTAGAACTGACCAGCTTCAGCATCCATGGACTTCCACGGCAGGTCGCGAAGCAACCGAACAACCCGAAGATGATGATGCTGGCTCCAGTCCCAATGAGGACATATGGTGCATTGGTGCTCTTGTCTGAATTCAGGAGGAGGTCGAACTCCAAATTAACCTTTCCCCATACTCCAACAGCCAACAAGATCACTCCTGTGAACTACAAGAAAAGTTAAAGACTCTCAGACATATTCGATAAGTGTTTATGGTTTTGCCTGAGAGATTATTGCACTGTGTCTTGCCCATCCCCATTCTTAATACTACCCTTGCAAACCTTGTAATTACACTTCAGCTTCAAAACTCTGACAGTTTAGAGCATTAAATAAAAACAGGGAATCTGGGAATGCTCAAGTTCCCAGACAACTGTTGTGAGCAAATATAAGCCTTGACCTATTTAGAAACTGGTCAAAATAAAGCCAAGTGAAGTCACTTTGTATAGCGCTTTTCACAAATATACATTGTTTAAAGTGGCTTTACAGAAGAGCATGATGTTAATGTTTATAATTTCTTAGTGTACCTCATGTTTCATAGTCACATTTAGCAGATTAGAACTGGAAGATAATTTAGTTTACATTTTGTGACACTAATTATGCAGTTGAGATTTACTATATAGTATATATATCATAAAGTTAAATGTATGTATGCGGATGAAGATGGATATAGTTATAGTAGACTGTAGATTTAGGTTATGTTATGATATTGATGACTTTGAAACCTGTTAGGTTTTGTTCAATTTATATTAATTTGGAGTAGTGACAAGCCTATTTACTATTTGGTGATGTGTATTACTGCCAAGGGTAAATAAATGAGAGTTATCATTTTGATCATAAGCAACTGATTGCGTCCGAGTCTTGGACTATCCACTTTATAAACATGACCATCTGTCCCCTGTCTGCTGAAAATCACAGTGAATAGCAATAAACAGTCGAGATAAAAGTGCTGCACCAGACTTCGCACCCAGTTAGGCCACGTTTGATGAACTGTTTATATCAGTTTCCTTATTGAATCTCTGTATAGATCAATATATTTGAACAGCGATCAAAACAGCTGACTATTCTTCCCAAAGTACATAAGGCTGCAAAGTTTCGTATTTCTTAGTCTGGAATAAATTTTAACCTATATACTAAAAATTTATGTTTTACTTCATTCTTTTTGCATACAAGTTTAAAATGCTGGGAAAATCTAAAATTCTATACGACGCATCCTTAAGCAAGCCGGTAACAATAAAAGGTAATCGAGAGGATCTAACATATGTAAATCTTTTTTGTAAGTCTTTTGCTAATCAAAAGATAAATAAACACCTAAATAAAGTATCTTTAATAATGCATCTTATTTTGCATAAAGAAAACATGGCTAGTTAAAAATCGAAACTAGGATTAAACTGAGTTAGAACTGCTCGTTGACTGATCCCATTGTTCAGAGTGAGTTAGCTGTGCTGATAGCCGCCTTTAGCTAACGGCAAATCTGATGACAACACAAACTCACCCAGAAAATCAGACTGTACGAGATCAGAAATGTCTTCAGACACGTTATCACGGGTTTGGTTTGAAGCCGTGCGGACGGAGGGGACATTTCTGCTTTTGTTTTCCCAGCGGATCTGACTGGCGACGGGACTTTTCGATGGATGCTGGAGGAAAAGTTGCAGATTGGAGTGTGAGTTGGTAAAGTTTGTTTGGGAACTGAACAGATGATACTGTGGAGCAGGGTTGCCAGGGTTTCACAAGAAAACCCGCCCAATCGCTACTCAAAACTAGAGGGGATCCCCAGTTAAAAATCGCGTTCCGGGGGGTAAAATACACGATTTTTGGCGGGGTCCCCCTGCTAAAATTCGCATTCCAGGGGATAAATATCATGTTATTGGAGTCGCTTCAACCCGCGGACATGAAAAACAATCCGGGGCAACAGTGTTAAAGGGGTCATATGATGTTGCTTAAAAGAACATTATTTTGTGTATTTGGTGTAATGAAATGTGTTTATGCGGTTTAAAGAAAAAAATACATTATTTTCCACATACTGTACATTATTGTTTCTCCTTTATGCCCCGCCTTTCTGAAACGCGTCGATTTTTACAAAGCTCATCTGTCTGCATTGGGATGTTCTCTTTTTTTTCTGGACGGCAAGGGCAGTGACTGTAACATCGAGCGTGTTTTGCAGTATTAAACACGTATTTATAGCGATTTCGTCAGGCTCCGAAAATTCTTCAAAAAGAACAGAAAGAATGGCCTTCTCAGCTGCCATAGTTGCAACTCTTGAGTCATCAGAACAGTGTGTTCAACGCACCACCGTTTCCGTTTAAAAAACGTTTTGCACCGTTTTGTTGGGGCTGAACGCAGCCCTGATACCAAGATAAAGGACTGGGGGTCTGGGAAAGCTATAAATATAACATTAAAATAATTATTGATTATATATATAATTTCATAAAATATACATAACAGAAAAATGTTGTTCTGTGTTTGGAACAATGCTGCTAAATTTTAAACACTCGGAAATATGTATTTATTCAAAGCCTAGCTTGGCTGAAACGCATAGTTTCCACCAAAAATAAAATAAAATAAAAATAAATAAATAATTTACCAAATGCTTCAAAAGTCATCGGCTGTCGGTTGAGTATATTCAGGAACTGGGAAGGACAAACAAACAAATAAATACATAAATTAGATTTATTAAATAAAAGTGAGGCTTTTTCAAATTAGCTTATAATTATCTAAAAGTGAAATCAATTTATGGCTTATAGAGTTTTACATTTTCCAACTAGTTAATGTTGGGCTTAGATTTAAAACATCTATACTAATATGCTTCAAAAGTCATATATATAAAAAAACCTTCAAAGTGACAGTAAGATCAAAATCTAAATCCTTGTTTTCGGGTTGGGAGTTCAGCCTTCCTGGACTGTATACAGTTCACCACAAGATGGCGCTATAGACGTAAATATGCCACGCCATGCGAAAGTAAACAAACCTTATGTGTGCAAATAAATGGATTGTTTATGAATTGGGCAGAAATTCGACTTCTTCGTGAAACCACTTTATGTTTTTATTTTTTATCACTCTTTAGGTAGATTTCGCTTTCGCCTGTGTTTTCCATGCCCTGTAGCAGTCTTCCAAATTACCGTAAGCACCTTTTTTTCACATGCTGTGGTTTGGTTATTAGCAGATCTTACACGTGGTTTATTTTAAGCTCATAAAAAAAAAAGAAGAAAAAAGCCGGTATAGTAGAATATGTTACACAAGAAGTTAAAGACCAGAGTGGGAATCTTTACTATGATTGTAGTGATGAAATTGTGATCGACCACTGATAAATTATTGGCCTGGTTATTGGGAAGGATTTATACCAGCCTTGTGCTCACCACAAGACTAAAAGAGAGGAATGAACTTGTAAAGTGCAACAATCAATGTACACTGTTCAGTTAGAGTTAAAAACAATATTTATTTACTTACATATTTTCATACATGGTTTGAAAGGTTTGTGCAATATTATTAATGTTTTTGTAAAGACTATTTTAAAACAGTGAATTGCTTTATTTATTTTTTTCTCAGCTAGATGCATTTGGCTTTGTGTGTTCAGCCCAAGCAAAGATGAATGGAGCAATTTTCACCTTCTGGAGATCAGATGACTGATGTTAGTAACCATCACCCAACAGATGCTGAAGATTAAAGTGGTTTATCCTGGATATGTGTTAGGTAAATGCTGTGTAAGAACATGTTGAAAGTCCATGGATGAGTGCTTTTGATGTGTAAACATAAGGCATCTGAATGGTGAGCTAATGTCTGTTAGCATTTACTGTTTAAATCTTTATACTGCAGTCTGCTTTTTGTCCCCAAACACCTCCTATTGGGGGAATTGGAGCATGAGACGGATGGCGAACCAGACTTCATGCTGCAGACAGTCAGAAAAGGGCAATATGTAAATGGCGTTGAATGTAGGTATGTTTATGTGTATGCAGTCACACATTCAGATTTGCTCCACACATTGATATATCATTTGTCATATCCTTTATTGTGCTAAGAATAAAGCAAAGCAATTCATCAGCTTTGGGAAGATGAAGTTTGCTGTTTAGATTATTTAAACAAAATGTTACTGCAGTTTGTTAACATACTACATTATTACTGTCAGGCTCAGAAAACTATATTTCAGATATGGCCTTAAAGGAAAGGCTGCATGTTAGAATAAACATGCAACTCTGTCTGTGCAGAAATCAATATAGCAAATTCTTTGTGTATTTCATTATTTCTGTTTGTATCACGTAACATAATGTGAGGTCCTCTTTCACTCAGACTAAATTAAATTAACAGCCATTTACCCAACACTAATGGCTGTAACATTTGGGCATGGCTGAATGAGGGAGCACTGAGTATGTGCATGCTTGTGTGTGAAAATGTGTATGCATGAAAGACTTAGGAAGTATAAAGATCCATTGCCACTTTGTAGAAACACTCCTTTTGGCTACACACTTTTGTCCTTTCTCTCAATCTTGCTCTCATGCTTTCTTGATTTCTCACACTCGGGCATGTATACACTGCACATGGTTTGTTGAAAGACAAGAGTCCTATTTTGTCCTGTTCTATGACCGTAACGTCAGGTCTCTGCTTTATACCTCGCTTCAAGGGTCCACTGCTTTGCGCTGTTTTGTGTGATGTCTTTTCTCATGAGATTTAATGTGTGACAGAGTGTGAGAGATTAATTTGCGTCCGTGATTGGGGTTTTCATGGTTAATTAAGTTCATTGAAAGTTAATTAATAAAACAATGCTTTTCCATTAATATATTTATCCTTTCAAGTGAGCAGCTACTTTATGAGGAACTGCAGTAAACTGCAATGAGCTCTCTTCATTCTGAACTTGACAGTCATCTACGGATGAAGTCTTAAAGTCTTGGCTGCAATTTTTTGGAATATTTCCACCGTCATTGGCCACAAAAAATGATACTGTTAATGTGACATGTTGACATTAGTGGGGCATGTTGCCACAATAATAACCTGCTATTAGACAACCTATAGGCTGTCCAGCAAAAATGAAAAAGGAAAACAGCTGTGAAAGACAAAAATTAAATAGCAAAAAAATGCACTACTAGTCAAAGTTTTAAAATGTTTTTTTATTTTAAGAAGTCTCTTATGCTCACCAAGGCTGCATTTATTTGATCAAACATAATATTGTGAATTATTATTATAATTAAAAAGAACTGATCCTTCAGAAATGATACTAATATATGCTGATTTGGTGCTCAAGAAAAATGTCTTAATATTATCAATTTTGAAGAACAGTTTTTGAAGTCTGGAGTAATGGCTGCTGAAAATTTAGCTTTGTCATCACAGGAATAAATTACATTTGAGAATATATTCAAATAGAAAAAAGGTTATTTTTAAATTGTAATAATATTTCCCAATATGACTGTTTTTACTGTATTTTTAATCAAAAGAATGCAGCCTTGGTGAGCCAAAGAGGCTTCTTTAATCAAAATCTTAAATATTCCATACTTTTTACCAGTAGTGTACATGGTAACACTGAACCATTGTTTTGACCAATAGATTATAAAACTCATTTGACAAATAATTGCCCCAACACAATACTTACGGAAAATACCTTTTGGTTAAAATTTATCTTTATTACATTTGTTATAGGTGATTCTTGTCTGAATGTATGTTGTTGTGCATTAATGGTGTTCACTTTGTTTACTCTGTATATATTAAAAAATATGATAAGTTTTTGAGGACAAAATGTATTACAATTGAAGGGGTTTTTGAACTAGCAACATAGAGAATTACTGCACACTTTTCTGTAAGTTCAAAACCTTATAGTTATTGAGATATAACCCTTCTGACAGCTTCTCAGTGTCTTCCATAACGAGGCAAAATGAACAACCAACTCGTGTAGATGTGTATTAAGACTGTTGTCTTATGCTCAGTGGTGCAGAGCACACTGTCAACCAGCAAACTCTCCTCCCCCGTGACGCACACCTAGCCAAATTCCCATGCAAGACACAGAGGCAATTTACAGTTCTTTTAACCATGTGCAGTTGATCCTGTAATTATCATAATTTATATGATCACTTATCACACTGGGCCATCAACACCTGCTCTCTCTCTCTAAAATTGTGTAATATTTAAAGCGATATTAAAATCGATGTCATTCGACATGGAATGGGAAAGACAAATGGATTGCTGGCATATTTTTAATAATATGCCCTGGGGACTGTGAACTGTATTTAAGTGGTAGAAGACTTGTTTTTACATAAGTTGATGGCTTGATTACGCTCGCGGATGTCAAGTCTCCCTCGCGCGCAAGAGAAGCGCACAGTCTGCCGAGAGCGCGTGAGTCAGTTCGCGTGCAAAGAGAAAATCCCGAAGATCTTTTAACATAACGCTCGTGTTTGTTATCTCTGAAAAGCAACCGAACAACTCTTCAGGCGTAAGACATGTTTGAAGTTTCACAATCTGGGGGCATAAGAAGCCCGGATAACTCGTCGTGTACTCAAATCAGTTTGTCTTAATCGTAGGGACTGTCATGAAGTGTGCGGGGAAAATGGATCTGTAAAGGCGCGATCTTTGCCTGTCAGTTGGTGCAAGTGTGGACGGAGGGGCTCGTTCAGGAGATGGGAGCTCCGATGGCTTCAGGACTTTGGTTTGGACTAGTGCTCACTGTGGCGAGTAAGCATGCAGCTCTTTTTTCCATTGATGTGTGCTACTTTCAATAATCAATTGCTTTATCATCAAAAATAACGCTCTTAACAGTTTAATACGTTTAAGTCTTTTTTTGTTTGTTAAAAGGCTAGGTAAAGTGTGTGTTTTATGTCTAGACGCAATTACCAGTCAAAATGTGTCAGTCATAAATTGTTAAATAAGAGCATTGAAAAAAAAAAAACAATTACGGGGAAAATGGCAACCCCAAAATAAATGATTGTTTATTTAATTGAATCAATATAAATTGTTATAATGTAAATCAATCAGTTATTTAACACTGACTGGTCTTAATATGGTATGAGACTTGAGCTAGATCAATTTAATTGAATTTATAATAATTTATTAAATTAATAGCTCTTTCTAAATAATATATGTACAAAATATGGTGGTTGCAACTGTATTATCGGAGGTAGTGCATGCTTTTCTGAAGCTTTGATTTCAGAAGGGAAAACAGGAATTAAATAGCTCTGGTTATGTGACTATTTTATTTACACTAGAAATGAAAAAGTTTCACATGAAATCAATACAACCTGTACTTTAATCTATAGTTGACAACTCATTGCAAAATACATTAGGAAGTCTCTTTAGACCTGTAACCAGTGGGATTAAAGGGGTTAAATTGGGTCAGTCCACATAATGGCACGCTCTCTGTGCCCCATAGCTCACTTCACTCACAGATCTGTTTCCAACTGTGAAGAATCACTTCAGTGCCCACACAGCAGAGTCTTTTGTGAGTGCATCATGTTTCATTGAGTATGAAGGATGACTTTATTACTTAAAATCATTGATCAGTTTCACTCTGAACATGAAATAGCTATTAGATAATTTACAATCAATTGGTATTTAGAATAGACCCTTCATCATGGTTGCATAGTCATATGTTTTCTTGATCTCCATGTAGTAGTGAAGGGAAACATGAGCATATGTACAATTCAGTATTAGAGTCTGTTTCAGTCCATTTCAGGGCATGCATGGTGATAGTGTGTGTATATGTGTGTGTGTGTGTTTTGGTTCTTGAGGCATGCTTATGCTAACTCTGTCATAACTCTGATTAGATCTTTTGCTCAGTGAGTCAGAGCTGCAGAGAGGGTCTCTTAAACACGTTCATGAACACGCACACAAATACAGAATAAACCTAGACTTCAGAATAGCTTGTTGCTGTGAAGGACAGCTTTTATTGAAGTCTTGTTTGTGCACAGAACTCCATTGAATATATTTTGTCAATAAATGCCTAAATTGACTCGTTTTATAGCTTGCATGTATTATCGAACCGTGCAGTTGCATATTGCACAAATATATTACGACTGGCTGAAGCAAAAAGAGCTGTTTTTTTGTGGTGTATAGAGGCAGTGTTTTAAGTGAACTCTATTACTAATTACTTTTTTTTATTACACATTGAATTCTAACAAAAAGTAAAGTAAGCTCTTGTATAAGCTGTGGATAAGGACTGGGCTCCATTTCCAACTGTTGTGATTGCCATTAGCAGTATTGATCCCTGTATCAGTGCTTCCATTAATGATTTTTATTGCTGAAGTATTTCCACTCATTAAGCAGTGAGTCAAGGTCATGGCATGAGCAAGCAACGTACAAATGAGGAATACAACAAGCGATTCATCATAAAGACGCAATAAACACGAGAAGTGCTAGTAATACCGCGTTTCTGACATTGTTCAGAAAATTACCAGCTAGAACAGTTCATAAGTTTGGGGTTGGTTTGATTTTAAAATGTTTTTGAAAAAAGTTTCTTATGCTCACCAAAGCTGCATTCATTTGATTAAAAACAATAAAAAAATATATTGTGAAATATTATTACAACTTAAAATAATTTTAAAATATTTTAAAATGTAATTTATTCCTGTGGTGGCAAAGCTGAATTTTCAGCAGACAATACTCCAGTCTTATTTGTCACATAATCCTTCAGATATTATCCTAATGATTTGGTGCTCAAGAAACATTTCCCATTATTATTATCGATTTTGAAAGCAGTTTTGCCACTCAATATGTTTGCGGAAACTGTGATACATTTCAGGATCAATTTCAGGATTCTTTGTTAAATATAAAGTTAAAAACAGCATTTATTATATATATTTTTTAACATTATAAATGTTTTTACGGTAACTTTTGATCAGTTTAATGCATTCTTGCTGAATAAATATATTATATTTTAATAAATGTAGTATAGTATTAAATTATTATCACATTAAGACCACAAAAAGGCTTGAAACAACATGCTCTGCCCAATAAATGAAGCTAGGCTACTTGAACCGTTTGAACATAATTCCAATATATTGAAAAGAATAAGTGATTAACAAGCCATCAATGTGTAATAATGGGGTTTCAGTCTCTGTAGGAATTGTGAAAATATGTTCTGTGATTCCAGAAAAAGTGTGATATACTAAAACCCCCACACAGTCTCAGATTCTTAAACTAATGAAAACTGAAATGTGGGGAAAAGCCTTCAGCGGAAAGAAAGCATCTGAGCGAGGGTGAGAGAAAGACCGAAACACTCTCTTTTAGAGGTAAAGGGTAGCATGACGTGGATTTGACTCTCTCACATACTGAAATTGCGGCACTAGGGTAACTGTTGGGCCATAGCTAGTGAATATGTGTATATGTATTTGTGTAAATACATATGTGTAAATATGTTGTTTGATGCAGTGGAGCTTGGCTGCAGATGGAGTAGCTTTTAATAATTTAGTTGGTGGATATTTATGCCACTCAAACACTGATACACTGGTTAAGCACCGCCCTGCCAAACAGAAGAGCATAGTTGTATTTAACTTAGAATGGGAAGTGTTTATGTGTAAGTCTGTGTGCTAGTGCTAATATTGAATGCTATGTTATTATTTTGTATGCCTAGTAAAGTACTCTGCAGACTAGGTCTGTGTGTGTTTGTCTGTGTTGGTGTGCATCTGTTACTGCTGTCTGTGTGATGAGGCAGGTTTTATTTTAGTGCAGCTGAATTATTCACAGAGTTGAAGTGCACCGGGCTGGAAAAGCTCAGTGCATGCAACTGTGAGTGTGTGTGTGTGTGTGTGTTGTTTTGTATAATTTTGAGATGGTCCAAGTGTGTTTTTCTTTCCAAGCCCCAGTCCTGCCTTGGTTGTTTAGGAGTGTGTGTATTTTTGTGAAGAGCCCTGAAGCAGGACATGGGGCTTGTCTGATTAAGTCAGGGGTTTAGTAACACTTTTATCATAGGGTTTTCCACAGATATTAGTCACCACTCTAGACAGCATCCTCCATACTAAATAGTCATTTTAAACAAGACAGTGTGTTTATGCAGAAGATGTTATAATCTCGAACCATTAGTATACTGTTTTTTAGTTTGTTTTTTTATTATTATATTGGGTAATGTGTTAATTAATGAATGAATGCAATCTTCACTGTATTGGAGTCTCAGTTGGAAGCAGTTGCTCTAAGAAAGGAAGTACACTGATTGACAGTTCAGTTGCACCTCCCAGTGTGCGTTATTTCATACAGAGTTTGGAGAAAAAACATCTGATATTACAGTAAAATGTTTTTTATACTTAAACTTTGAGATATATACAAATTCAACCTTTTACTGTTTTTTTAAAATAAGTAAATAAGTCTTGTTTTTTCCAGACTAGTAGATTGCTCAAACACACTGGTGTTGAGAACAGTTTGCATTCTTTCATAATTATGGAAGCCACCTAAATGAATGAATGCATATTGTGAAATGAAGCGTAAATAAAAATTTGGGAGAAGTCAAAACTGTTAGTAACAATTACAAGAGATATAAACACACTTGAGATAAATAGTTGCAGTGACTTTTTAAATTTTTAACTCGGAAGCAGAAACTATGGAAGCCCGTTTCTGCCATGGTATAAAAAAGTAATTGTGACTTTTTATTCACAATTAATTTTTCCTGCAATTCTGACTTTATAGTGGACTTTTGTTTCTTGCAATTCTGAAAAGAAAGTCAGAATTGCGAGGTATGAACTAATGGTTTTCTTGGTTTCTCATAATTCTGAGCTTACATCTTGCAATTCTGACTAGAATTACTTCTAGTAATTCTGTTGTTTTTTTTCTGCCACAGAATAAAAAAATATAAAAAAAAGATAATTGTAATTTTATCTCACATTTCTGACTTTTTTCTCAGAATTGCAAATTTATTTTATTTGTGAAGAAAAAAAAAGTCTGAAATGTGACATTAAAAAGTCGCAATTACTTTTTTTGTGGCTGAAACAAGCTTTCATAAGAAACAGACTTCCATACAGAAATGCTCATCAAGAACTAAAAAGGCTTAATAGGTTATATATATATTTACATAACAGTTATATTATACTGTAATTATATGTTTTGAATATGCAAGTAAACAAACCAACAAAAAAACACTTTCTTCAAAATTTTTTTTTTTTTTTTGTAAAATTAAAATATCTTCTAGTAATCTGATTATTACTGACTAGAAGATGTTCCAATATGTTGCCCATAATGCGTAACATGAAACAACTGGAAACAAAAACTAACATGGTTACCTCTGTGTTTTGTAGTGTTCATTTATGGTCATATCATTTTGCTCACTAAACCCTCATTATGATAATTACTGTCAGACTCTGCTTTTATATGCTGTTAGGCCTGTCACAATAATAAATATATCGACTTATCGCGCAATATATGTACATGACCTCAATAATTTAAGGATATTAATATATTGCCCATTATATTTACTTAAAAAAATAATTTCACCATGTTTTGTACATTCCACTTGCGCCTGTGTCTTTTGCAACTTGTCGTACATAACGTGGTGTAGTCATGAGGTACTAGTTCAAATTTAAAAAATGCTTCTACAAAATAAGTTTCATCTGCAGATATGGTCTTGTTTAGGGATCTGTGTCTTTGTGCATACGGACATCTGACTGCTAAGTAGTTAATGTGTTTTTCAGCAATAGTGTGCACCCTTAATTTACAAATCTGAAAAAATCTGTAGATGGAAAAATCTCCATACAAGTTCTTTGTGCATTTTTCTTTTTTTCTACTTGTTACTTTGCACTTTTTGTTAGAAAATGTTTATTTATACATTATGATTATATATTCAGTGGCATAAAATGGTCTTTTAAATGACAATAATATCGCTTATCGCAATTATTTCTGAGGCAATATATCGCACAACAAAAAGTTGTTATCGTGAGAGGCCTATATGCTGTAATATGAGAGCTTGTGATTGCGTGCTGATGGGGCAGTGATGGGCTGAACAGCTGACTCATGTTTGGCATTAAAGAATGATCATCCCCATGGGGTCTTAATGAGAGATGTGGCATAGGGCTTCTGTGACCCTCTGCATGCTGTCTGTGAATCATGAGGATTGTTGCTTCGGTGCATCTTATTTACAGATGAATGGGGCTCATTATGTAACTGTCTGGATTCATAATAATGGATGTGTTAATTCTTTTGAAGGGATAATGAAATTTGACATTTAAAAGAGACGTTAACCACAGGTAGCATCAATATGCGCATAGAGAGATTAATAAAACTGATTTTTTTTTTTTTTCAGAAATATTTGTAGTAGGGCTGTCAGTTGAATAAATGAGTTAATTATAAGATTTGTGGATTAATTTGATATATCACTATTTGCTGAGAAAAGAAATACAGAATACATCATTAAGATGGGTCATAAAGCAATGAATGGACATTAAGAAAACGTGGATTTAGGAGTTAATAAATTGTTAATTTATCTGTGTACATTTATCTGTGTACATACACAGTCAATTCAATCTCTGCCGTTTTGAATAATAACCTCCAAAAATGTGTTCTCAAAAGATTGTTGAGTACGAAAACTTTCACTCTCAGCTTTGGGCAGTTCTTGGAGAGTTTCAGATTGGTTCTGCTTCGCTTGCTCAAATGGCTCCCAAAATTGCTTATCATGGCATTCATTTAATTTGTCACATGTTTTAGCTGTACTTGTTGAGCTGTTATTCAGATGGAGTATGTCTCACTGAGCACAGGCTGGGTGATTGTGTGTTGAATGCAGACTGCTGCCCCAGTGCTTCTACTGTCAACTTTAATCTTGTAGTCTCTGTACTCATTGTCCCCGCAGTGCACTGCTTGTCCACAGAGTGATGTCATTTGTCCTGACTTGCTGTCCCTTAGAGACAGCGGCACAGAAACACCAGTAGAGTTTTGGACTTTCTCTTTTCTTCTTTCTGAAGCTTACTTTTTGGCCTCTGTATAGTGTTCAAAATGACCCTTTTGTTACATGTGCCAATAACAAGTAAATAGAAAATCTTACACTCTAAAAAATGCTGGGTTAAATACAACCCAGTGCTGGGTAAAATAGGGACAAACCCAGCAATTGGGTTGTTTTGACTCAGCGGTTGGGTTACTACCCAGAAGGTTGGGTTAAACATTTAACCCAACCGCTGGGTCAAAACAACCCAATTGCTGGGTTTGTCTCTATTTTACCCAGCACTGGGTTGTATTTAACCCAGCATTTTTTAGAGTGTATAGTCATAAAATATTTTTACTGGCCATGAAACTTGTTCATATTATTTCCTTAAAATATAGATCTGTGCATATGACCATGTATTTATCTAGCTGTTTTTATTTGGTTCTGGAGTTATAACAATAGTAGAAAATAACTCCTTTGTTAAACTTTTGTTGGTAAATTTTCCTTTAATGTAAAAACTGTTAGAAGACACACAGCAGTCAGTGAGTTTTGGAAAGTTTAGATTTTTTTTAAGTTACACTACCCTTCAGAAATTTGGGGTTGGTAAGATTTGTTAAAATATTTTTTAAGAATTCAAAAATATTATCCTTTTAACCATTTTAAGTCATTTTCTTTTCCCCCAAAAATGCTAGTTAATGTTATCTCATTGGATTCAATCTATTTATGAGTTTCTTTTCTTTTACATTTCCACAGGTTTTGTATTTCTTTATGGAACTGATTGAACGAAGGCATCATTGTTCTGACCTCAGTTTAAAAACAAAATTGAGGTGCATAAGCTCAGGTCAATGATGCCTACAAAACTTGTGCTAACTGAAAGAAAACAGTTTGACAAAAATATTAAATCCAAGGTTTGTTAATAATATAGCATAATGAGAAACAGTCATTTTTGACCAGGGACACCAAATTAGGTAAAGAATTTTTAACACAGCCCTAGGGTTTATTAAAATATATATATTTAAACCATGCATTATTTCCCCTAAAAAAATACTGGTCAGTATTTACTGAACAAAACCCAGTTTTACCCCAATTTGTCACTTGTGTTCATTTATAAATTTTATGTTAATTTTGCATCATGAGTGTATTGATAGTGTTACAAAAGTTATTTAAATAAATCCCAAGTAAACCATTTCTTCCATTCAAATTCAAATCCAAAATTTTTAACATGTTAATGTCTGTTTTTCAGCTGTATTGTGTGCAGAGGTGGAGGAACATTTAGTAAACTATTTACTCTCCCCTGACCGATACAACAAGCTGATCCGTCCGGCAGTCAACAAGAGCCAGCAGGTCACCATTGCAATCCAAGTGTCCCTTGCCCAGCTCATCAGTGTGGTGGGTAGTTGGAACATGAAAAGCTGCCACACATGGCACATTTTATTAAATCACTTTTTGTAATATGTTAATGTTTGTATTTCAGAATGAGAGAGAGCAGATCATGACCACCAACTGTTGGCTCACTCAGGTATGAACAGTGGAACTTTTGTGTTTGGGTTGTATTGTTATTATTATTATTAATAAAAGTCTTTCTAAGGTGTGTGTCATTTGCAGGTATGGAATGATTACCGTTTGATTTGGGATCCAGAGGAGTATGAAGGGATAAGAAAAGTGCGCCTTCCTTCCCAGCATATATGGCTGCCTGACATTGTTCTGTACAACAAGTGAGAAACTTTCTAGTACAGAAAAATATTTTGTTCATATTTTATTTTGACTTGTAAAAACATAAAGCAATAGTTTACGTAAAAATGAAAATTCTGTCATCATTTCAACTATTTTTGCCGATACACTGAAAGTCAATGGGGTCCAAAACCACACTGGACCTCATGGACTTTCATTGTATGGCCATGAACAAGACACTTTTTTAAAAATATCTCCTTTTGTGTATTGTAGAAGAAAGTCATACAGGTTTGGAGTAAATGTTGACAGAGCGTTCATTTTCTGCTGAACTACCCCTTTAAATAATTTAGAAAAGGCTTTATTTATTCAAAGGTTGAATCCTTACAAAAAATAAAGGTTGCAGCAGGAGACTTATGTAATTATTATTATTTATTTTTTTACAATGCTGCGTCAATGCAGGATTTGGAGAGGGTTTCACCTTTACCAAGGACAGAGTTACTGCGTTAATCTCAGGAACTGAGACTGAGATTAGAATGACAGCGTTTTTTGCATGATGTTGAGCTGGCACTCAGGATAAGAGTATCAGCTTTAACTTTCACCTTTATTATGCACTTTATTATGCACACAAGCACAATAGGATACTTTGCTTTTTGTATTTAAAACAACAAATTTAAATGTGTTTGTCATTATTTAGTGCTGATGGGACATATGAAGTGTCTTTCTACTCCAATGCGGTTGTGTCAAATAACGGTGAGGTTGCCTGGCTACCACCAGCCATTTATAAGAGTGCCTGTAAAATTGAGGTCCGGGACTTCCCATTTGACCAGCAAAACTGCACACTCAAGTTCCGCTCATGGACTTATGACCACACAGAAATCGACCTCATCTTGCTTTCAGACTTTGCCAGCCGAGATGACTTCAAGCCAAGCGGTGAGTGGGATATTGTCTCGTTGCCTGGTCGCAAAAACGAAGACCCTAATGACGCCACATATTTGGATATAACGTATGATTTTATCATCAGACGTAAACCGCTGTTCTACACCATTAACTTAATCATCCCATGTGTTCTCATCACTTCACTGGCCATCTTAGTTTTTTACCTACCGTCAGACTGTGGGGAGAAGATGACTTTGTGTATTTCTGTTCTTCTGGCCTTAACTGTGTTCCTCTTGCTTATTTCCAAAATCGTACCACCGACCTCACTCGCTGTGCCCCTCATTGGAAAGTACTTGATGTTCTCCATGGTCTTGGTGACTTTTTCAATTGTTACAAGTGTGTGTGTGCTAAACGTGCACCATCGTTCCCCAAGCACACACACAATGCCCAAATGGGTCAAATACTACTTTGTGTTCCGTTTGCCTGCTTTTCTATTCATGCGACGACCGGGAGAGTCCAACAAATTTCGCAGGAAGCACCAGCAGTGCTCTTCATCTGATCTCCCAGCAAAAAGTGAGGCGGATGAGACTGATTCCACCTTCTTTGTCAATGAAGATGCCAAGCATATTGGTTGGAGACCTGGCGAGTTGCAGGAAAACACAGAATTTCATAAGCGAATGGCGGTAAAGTGCTCTGCAGACATGGAGGAGGCTGTGAAGGGGGTCCGATATATCGCTGACAAGTTGAAAAATGAGGATGATGATGAAGGGGTGAGTGCTGGATTGAGTTTCACTTAAATAAACTGAATTTGTGTATTTTTATACTTTTATTTATATCAATCAAATTATATTTTGTATATATTTATTGTATCTATTTATTTATAATTGACTACTTGTCAAATAATTGCATTTTTAAATATTTTCATATGCCAGAAAAAAATAAATTTTTTCAGCATTGTTACAAAAAACGAAATTATCTTTCAAATGTTTTTTGGAACTTTCCATTCATCAAAGAATCCTGAAAAAAGTTTGTCACAGTTTCCACAAAATATTAAGCAGCACAACTGTTTTCAATATTGATAATAATATAAAATGTTTTTTGAGCACCAAATCAGCATATTATAATGATTTCTGAAGGATCATGTGACCCTGAAGACTGGAGTAAAGATGCTGAGAATTCAGCTTTGCCATCACAGGAATAAATTACATTTTAAAATATATTAAAT